CGCCTGGGCGGATCATACAAAAAAGATCGAAGGAGAGGCAAAACTTTTGCTCGAGAAAGAATTCAACCGTGTTTCTCGTGGTGTAAAAGAGTGGAAGTTTTCCAACGGAGAATTAAACTGTTCCCTTGCTTGCCGCGAAAGTTTGTTCCTGTTACATGTTACCTGTCAAAGTCCTATTGTTAGAGAAAATTGATCCCTCTCTGATATCAATCAGAATAAACATTTAGGTGTTATAATCTCATTCCAGGTAGGATGCCGCCAAAAATGTATTTTCTATTTTATCTCCGAACGCAAATTTTGCCGATCGACTCGTACGTTTTGAACTCCAAGTCGGCAGCCTTTCAGTCAATTTGGCTAAAATTTGGCCAGAGTGATGCCATATATCTCTTCTACAAAACCGTGTCTGCGAATTTTAATACTCCTTTTCATTTTAAAGCTAGAGCTTTTTTTCCACGGGGAGTGTTGACTAATTGCCTTTCCCAACTTCATTTGCTAATAAAAGAAAAACAAACGCACTTGTCAAAAATCTGAGACATGGTTTTTTAGTGGAACGTGTTGAGAAGCGAATGCGGTGTTAATTGTTTTCTTCCGTTTATTTCCGGCGGGAGTGGAACATGATTTATAGAGAAGTGTACTTTTACACAAAACGTTCCAATTTCGAAACATTTAAGTAAATCGTTTTTGTTAGTTCAAATCCATAATCTGGAATTATTAAGCTTTTAAAAAATATATGGTTTATAGGGGTTTTTATAAAAACAACTAACGCTACAGCGACCCGCGCGCGGACGGTCCTGAAGGGTGGCTGATACCTTAAGTAAGCTGCAAGGAAAGGGGTTTTTGGTCCTAAAATGCTACAGAGATGCGAAAAATAATACATTTTCTTCGAACTCGGTTAAAAGATGTTTATTTATGGAAGGAAAGTGACGTAAGATGCCCCGCTAGATCAAGGGGATAGCTTTTTGTTGTTGTTTCCGATAAGTACGTGGACGTGGTTCCTCTTTTATCGCCTGCCATTTACAGGAAAGAAAAGTTACGCTAAAAAGCAGCTGTTGTCGACTTTACTTTACTTAACACAGGTTTGGATTTGTGTTTACTCTTTGGTCGTCTTACAACTTTGTTTCGATTTTGAAGCCCGAGTGTGGCTATAGGCATCAGATAATGAAAATTCACGCGCGTATTTCAGTAACATAATCGCGAGAGGTCGTATATAACGTTGCTTTGTAGTTCTGTACTTGGTAAGGAAATTTATTTCTTTGCAAAAAGGAAGACACTATCCCCAAGAAAAGCAATTTTCCAGCACAGCAATGTCAGGAATTTACGTGCTTCAACGGTCTACACGATCTACACGGTCTACCATCATATGAGATAAATATAATAATATATTCTATTTCTTACTGTTGCAGAATGGTAGACCGTGGATGATGGTAGACCGTCAGAAAATAGAAATTAACATAGCACACAACTTTTGCTGCTCTCTAGCTCTAACGGGCTTTAATAACCATCTTATTTTCACCGTAGTAGATAAAAAAAACTGAAAGGTTTTACTTCAACAACGATGTTGAAAAATAAGTCACGCGGTATACCGATTACATAACGCCATTGCATATCAAATATCATTGCGTTACAGATACAGGGGTGAAAATGAAGGTTTGGCAGCTTTATTCGCACCTACAATATCTCTGAATACCAAGAAAAGGAAAATTATGCTGTTATTATGCATTCGCGCTTCTCAGGGTTTAATTACAACGCCGAAACTTTCAGCTATGTCACGGTAGATAATGGCGCATGCGCTACAACAAAACTGGGGCAAAATTTACAAGTCACTACATTCTTAAGCGCATTTTTAGGCAGTTTGCTATCAATGACAATGATGTATCGGCTGGGAAAAGCAACACAAAGTGCCATTCTATTCATTTATGTCGCTATAGTCTTCGTTTTGGGAATTTAAGACGTGGAAATCGCTTGTTAAAGTAAACCTTAAATGACACAACCAGTTGCAAAAGTACTTGAGACACTGTACCGATGTGATCCCCCCTCCACCCCTTATCAAAGTTGCTAGCAATACAAGACCCTACTCAAACCTTGGAGGAACAACTTTGAATGGGAGGGAGGAGGGAGGTCAGTATTATATAATACAGACCTGTGACCAGGAGCGATTTGAGGCAAGAAAGGTCGTTTTTCGGTGGGAGTGTCTCATCATTTTTGCAACTGGTTGTAGCTTCCAATTTTAAACTGACGCGTACACCGACCATATAAGGAGAGCATGGTATAATAGCTCATATACCATAACGGCTAAGCCAATCAAAATGCTAGAATTGCATTATCCAATGATTCAAGCCCCATTTACACTACACAAAAAAATGGGTCCGGACCCATAAAAAAGTTGGTACGGACCAGATATTTTTGCCGTGTAAACCTTCCGTACCATGTTTTTATGAAATGGGTCCGGACTCGCTTTTTTCTGGTTTTGGGGCCATAGGCAGCTATGGCCCTAAAACCGAAAAAAAACGAGTCCGGACCCCTTTTCCTGATCGAAAGCGCTGTGTGAACGCATCTTCGTTCCGTACTATCCGTACCCTCTGTTTCATGTGAGCCTGCCGTGCTTTACGGTGGTTTCGCGCATGTGCACTATTCCTCTATTTTCTACACGATGGCGTCGATGGTGTCAAAAACGCAGAAAACGAAAACGATCGTGTGGACTGATGAAGAAGTTGGCCTACTATTAGTCGTTTTTGCCGAAGAGACCATTCAAATAGGGCTAGAGAAAGCAAAATGCCCGAAAGACAAAAATGCAGTGTACCTGGAAGTTCAGAAGAAGTTAGAACAGCACGGTAAGTTTTTATGCTAAAATCCTTCCTTCTGACAGTTTTTATCAGGTCACTGTGTTTCATTTCGCTCTAATGCTATTTCGTTTTTCTGGTTGTTTCAAAAAGGAATGATGAAAACTGTCGCGGCAATTACGGACAAATTGAAAAAACTACGTGCAAAATACAAAGATGTGAAGGATAGTGCCAAGAAGAGCGGAAATTCGAGACCCAAGAAGCCCTGGAAGTTCATGGAAAAAATGGACACAATTTTTAAAGATAACCCAACTATTGACCCACCGCATCTGTGGGATAGCAGCTCCAGTGATCACAATAGTGAAATCTACAATGGAAGCTCTCTAGAAAATGGTAGAGTGTTTGTTCTTGTTGCTGTTGTGTTTTTAGATTAACAATCAAAATATTATTTGTGCATTTTATTTAAATAAGCTCTGTTATTTTTCAAATCATACACCAAATGAATATATTCCGTGTATGTTTACTAGATAACCTGCCAGTTAAAAAACAATAATGAGGATGGGAATGAGAGTTAACTGGAGTTTTTCAAACTGTGTGGTGCATGTACATGTGGCAGTTAATTTTTTGTTTCTGCAGTTAAAGTTTATTTTTCCTTTGTTTTTAGGTATGTGATGTATGATAACGAGTTTTAAACATGGAAAAATAAAAATTTAACTGAAAACAAAAATTAACTGCAACATACTCATCTACTGTTATAATTGACTTTTTGGCAGGAACAGAAACCTCAGAAAATAGCTCAGAACTGCATTCTGAGAAAGAAAGTGATGCAGTCTCAGACACTGATTCTAGTAGTTCTGAAAGGAAGAGATCTAAGTGCATCACAGGTGCCACACCAAAAAGTTCCAAGAAAACAAAAGTGGAGAAGTCAATTGAAACAGTGTGTTTGAGTCTCCGTGAATCCTCAGAAGCTGAGATGAAGAGGTAAATACAGCTTCTTAATTAGTTTCAAGGTTTTTAAAATGTTTTAGCAAGAATTAATTTGGAGACTGTGTGCTAATTAAGGATGTGTAGTCAGAATACAAGGGGATAAGAAAACCCTGGTATTTTCGGAAGATGGAAAAGAAAATGTTGTGACTGTTAAAACAATCATAATGGCAGTAATTATGATCATGATGATGGTGATGATGATGAAAAAAATGAAAATGATGTTCATCGTTGTCATTTTTTAGACTCTTGCTGTATCAAGTTTTTTTTTACTGTTTTCTGGCACCCTTCACAGATTTGAAGAAATGGAAGAGAAGAGGCATGAGAGGGAGTTAAAATTTCGACTTGAAATGAGAAGAGAAGAAAGAGAGCATGAATTACATGTCCTTCAAATGATGATGCAAATGAGAGGCTGTAACTCTCAATGGACAACTCCAGGGCAGCCGGAATCTGAATATTCTTTTGATAGACAAACTTATTACCCTTGGTAAACTTGAGTCCAAACTCCAGATGAAGAAAGATAACATCCCAAGAGGGGGCAGTAAAGTTACCATTGTTTGATTTAGTTATCACTGAAGCACGTCAACCTGTGAATTAGCTCGTTAGTGGGAGATGGCCAGTCACTAGAAGCATTGGTGAACAGCTTTGTCATTGCTGATTGCCCTGCATTCCACTCACCACTAAAGAGTCTGTTCACAAGCAACAAAAACAAGAATAGTTGTTGTTTTTATTATATATTTTTTTTTAAATTAAGCATTTATTCGTTGAGTTACCTGGGAACAACCAAAGAGCTGTTTATTGTTTTGAAATTCAATGGGTGGATTGATTGTTGTAAATTAAAACAAACAAGCATTATGAGTATCTTGCAAAACTAAACTAGACAGGTTCTATTTCTGTAATATTTCATTACCTCATGAAATAAATATAACGCATTGCTTTTTTGTGGTGACCATTGTTGGTAACCTTTTATTTAAGTCTCTTCCAACATAGCAACGTAAAGAAATGTCACTAATCTCCTGCAGGCAAAAACAAAACAACAACAACAGTTCAGCCGTTGTTTAGTGTTAACACAACATTTCTTTTATGGTGACCATCACTGGTAACATTTACCAATAGTTGGGTCTCTTCTAACATAGTAACATGAAGATATGTCACTGATCTCCAGTTAAATAAAAACAACAACAGTTAGCTGTTGTTTAGTTAATTTTTAAAAGTGCAATGACAATAGCTGGAAGTCTACTCCAATTCCAAGTTTTGGCCTTCGGGTGACATAAAAAAAGCAGCAAGAGTGTCTCTTACATCAGATCCAAGCAGTTCGTCAATTGGTCCATCCTGGATTACTTCCTCCTCGGGCTGTTCAAAACCTTCTTGTAACCACTCTACAAAATATGGTTCCTTTCTCATCTCACAGATGTTATGAATCACACAAGCAGCTGCTACTACCTCGACTGCTCCATCAACCTCCATATCCAGGCGCTTAGAGAATCTTGGAAACCTTCCTTTCCAGCGTCCGAAGGTATTCTCAACTGTCATCCTGGCTCTACTGAGACGATAATTAAAACGCCTCTGAATCCTGGGGGTATTAACATTCTCTGGGTAACCTTTAAGTAGCCAATTTAACATGGGGTAGGCTGGATCTCCCAAGATAACGGGATGAATTTCCTGCCCCAAAATTTCCTCTTTCACATCTGGTGGAAATAACCTCCCACTACACCCCAGAGCGTACAGCTGTGAGTTCGAAAAGACCCTTGCATCATGTACACTTCCTGGCCACCCTACAACAATATTACGGAATAGGTAACTGCTGTCAACAATAGCTTGCATCACAATGCTGTGGTAAGATTTTCTGTTGATGTAACTTGCATGATTTTGCTGTGGTGTTGAAATTGGTATATGTGTGCCATCGATTGCTCCAGCACACATGGGAAACCCCCATTTCTCCTTATAATTAGCTATCACGCGAGTAAGTTCATCTCCTTTAGCAATTGACACATACTTTGGCTTAAGTTTTCTCAACACTGCAGCGGCTACCTTGCGGATGCAAATGCAAACAAAACCCCTGGATAAACCAAACAGGTTAGAAAGCGTTCTATACCTTGCGGTTGAAGCAATGAAGTACAAGAACAGAGCCACTTTCTTTTCTACTTCAACAGCCTTCCTCATCTTTTCATCTTGCAATGTCAGTTCTGGTTTAAGTTCTTCAACAAGAAATCGAAATGTCGCCCTGGACAAGCGAAAGTTTTCGTACCATTCTTGGTCTGAAAACTCGTTCAATGCAAGCTGAAACCAAGCACCTGTTCTAGGAAGCTGCCATATGGTTCTCTCGATAGTGCATTGGCTCATTATGATGGCCATTAAAAGAATTGACCACTTAAAAATTTTCCTTCTCCGTTTTCTTCTAAAACGGTTCAATGTTTCTGCGGAGTTTTCCCCTGAAAAGGGAGTCACTCTCCTCCTAAAAGGAAATGGTAAAAGAGTGGCAGCCATAATGGCAGCCATGTTTCTTTCCTTCGCGCACCCTTTTGTGTATTTACCACTGAGCGATAAGGAAAGATACCGAAGGCTCAAATAAAAATCTGGTCCGGACACCGAAAGTCAGCAGTGTAAACAGTGTGCATTAGGGCTCTTTTCAGTCATAAGCCTAACCTGATTGCATAACGAGCTGCACGGTCTTAGCAACCAAAAAAACCCCTCAGTATCCAGCTGAGATAGCTGAGTAAAAGTCAGCTATCTCAGCTGGATACCCAGTAGCTTGCAACATTCCCTATTCCCTTAATCTCTGATCGTATTTCGCATCTAATATGATAGAGGCGTCAATTTTCACGCAATCATGTCATCATCCTGAGGCGACAAATAAAATTAATTAAAAATGCGGTATCAAACAAAATGTCCGGAAAAAATAATTCAGTGCCTTCTAAAAAGAACATTTTAAAGTCTGCGGTCGATTTCATTGCCAACGTGTTATATATCCCAGAAGCGCTCAGGCATAATAACATCATGCTAGGACTTCTACCTGGGTGAACCAGAAAGGATATAGAACAACTGCCTAATTTTTTTTTCGGCTACGGATCGAAACGCTGAACGTGTTATATATCCCAGAAGTGCTCAGGCATAATAACATCATGCCAGGACTTCTACCTGGATGAACCAGAAAGGATATAGAACAACAGCCTAATTTTTTTTTCGGCTACGGGTCGAAACGCTAAACGTGTTATATATCCCAGAAGCGCTCAGGCATAATAACATCATGCCAGGACTTCTACCTGGGTGAACCAGAAAGGATATAGAACAACTGCCTAATCATGTTTCTTTTTCGGCTACGGATCAAAATAATAGACGTGTTATATATCCTAGAAGCGCTCAGGCATAAGAACATCATGCCAGGACTTCTACCTGGGTGAACCAGAAAGGATATAGAACAACTGCCTATTTTTTTTTTTTTTCGGCTACGGGTCGAAATGCTAAACGTGTTATATATCCTAGAAGCGCTCAGGCATAATAACATCATGCCAGGACTTCTACCTGGGTGAACCAGAAAGGATATAGAACAACAGCCTAATTTTTTTTTTCGGCTACGGATCGAAATGCTAAACGTGTTATATATCCTAGAAGCGCTCAGGCATAAGAACATCATGCCAGGACTTCTACCTGGGTGAACCAGAAAGGATATAGAACAACTGCCTATTTTTTTTTTTCTTCGGCTACGGGTCGAAATGCTAAACGTGTTAGATATCCTAGAAGCGCTCAGGCATAATAACATCATGCCAGGACTTCTACCTGGGTGAACCAGAAAGGATATAGAACAACTGCCTAAATATTTTTTTTCGGCTACGGATCGAAATGCTAAACGTGTTATATATCCCAGAAGCGCTCAGGCATAATAAAATCATGCCAGGACTTCTACCTTGGTGAGCCAGAAAGGATATAGAACAACTGCCTAATTTTATTTTTACGGCTACGGGTTGAAATGCTAAACGTGTTATATATCCCAGAAGCTCTCAGGCATAATAACATCATGCCAGGACTTCTACCTGGGTGAACCAGAAAGGATATAGAACAACTGCCTATTTTTTTTTTTTTCGGCTACGGATCGAAATGCTAAACGTGTTATATATCCCAGAAGCGCTCAGGCAGAAGAACATCATGCCAGGACTTCTACCTGGGTGAACCAGAAAGGATATAGAACAACTGCCTACTTTTTTTTTTTTCGGCTGCGGGTCGAAATGCTAAACGTGTTATATATCCTAGAAGCGCTCAGGCATAATAACATCATGCCAGGACTTCTACCTGGGTGAACCAGAAAGGATATAGAACAACTGCCTAAATATTTTTTTTCGGCTACGGATCGAAATGCTAAACGTGTTATATATCCCAGAAGCGCTCAGGCATAATAACATTATGCCAGGACTTCTACCTGGGTGAACCAGAAAGGATATAGAACAACTGCCTAATTTTATTTTTACGGCTACGGTTTGAAATGCTAAACGTGTTATATATCCTAGAAGCGCTCAGGCATAATAATATGCCAGGACTTCTACCTGGATGAACCAGAAAGGATATAGAACAACTGCCTTTTTTTTCTACGCGTCGAAGTTCTAAACTTGTTATTCTTAGAAGCGCTCAGGCTTAATAATATGCCAGGTTTCCAGCGACTGATTTTACCTGATTTTGCGGTGCGCAAGAATGGATAATTTACCCGACTTGTAAACAGATATTTCCTTCAGCCGATTGTGTCTCATGCAGGAGAATGTCATGTCTGCGTTGTTTTGTTTCTACTTTATCAAAGAAAGCTTAATAGGAAGATCGCAATTTATACTCTTACCAACTATAAATTAGGGCTGACCTGGAAGACGCGTTGAATTGTGCCGCCATCCTTCAAAATATAATCTGGCTGCGTTTAGGGAGACAATTTCCTCTTCCATCCAGGTTTACTTGGTATATGTGTTTGCGAGAATCTTCAGACAAAGAATTGGGTATACACTGATTCGAATGGCTTGGCGATACTAAGTGCTTAAGTCTACTTACCGATTACAACATGTTTTGGAAGTATTGAGAAGCGCGCCAAACGAGGTTGTCACAGCGTTCTCGAGCGAACACGGCGCGACCTGGATTGATAAAATTACTATTACATGCAGCTATCATGCCAGTGATTTCTCCTTTCGTCGCATAGTGAATAGTTTGTGAGCACATCCTCGACTCTCGAAACATTTGTCTTGCGCCGCTATAGAAGTTGCTTCTCCCGCGAACCATAGGTAGATTTCCCGCTTAATCTAATGTTTGATAATTTATGCAAAAGTTGACCTCGTGAAAGTCAGCAGTGCATTAATCGACTCAAAAATAAACAGACTTCCTACAGGGTTTTGAACACGGTTTTAATTAAAGTACTTTACGAGCGCTGCGGTAGTTGACCGCAAAAGTGTTACGGTGATGGATATTCAACTGGATGATTGCGTCACTTCATAGCAACCAGACGGTACGAATTTTTTAACTTCCGGAGCGCTGAGGCTCGTAGTGTATCCGTGTAAACAGTTAAAAAAAAATTGGTCCGGACCACTTTTTAATAGGTCCTGACCCATTTTTTTGTGTAGTGTAAATGGGGCTTTAGTTTTTAATAAATGTATATATAGCAATGTCTGGTTTCTGGTCGCAAGGCTCAAGTACTAGTTTATGGTTTTCCTACAATTTGGCAATTCCAGAAAATCATTTCAAAGGCTAGTTTTTCAGTGCACGTGTTGACTATGTGGTAACATTTTCGATTAACCTCCTCTTTTCCCGGACATTTGAGGCTTCCGAAAAGCTCTGGAGCATAACGCCATGTCCTCTTCAGTTAGTAGGACTAGTTTTATCAACAGAGTCCGTTAACACATTAAAGACGGCAAATTCATGGCTTGATAGTGTGGTATAGGGCGGATAAATGTTGGGCGGTGAAACGAGCGCTCCGCTCTTCATGCTCATTTAATGTGTGATGCGGAGTAGGACTGGCACGAGCGCTCCTTCCGCGCTTCCGGTGCGCTTGAAGGCCGGCGAAATTTTCCTTTTTGCAAACCGGAAATCTTATTTTCTTTCTGTAATTTCAGGATACAATGTTAAATAGATAAATTCGTTTCATAACAATATCAATAAACAGTTTCATATGTTTGTGCCTGTATGCCTAAAGGTCAAACTTGATGGTCGTATAATGCCAAAATTTGAGTTTAATTTGAAAGTGTTGAATACCTCCTCGTTCCACTAAATATCACCTAATCGTCTTTCACCGTTTCGTTTGCAAAAGCTTAACACTTTTTAACCTCAATTTTTACATATGTTAAAGGGGGATAAATTTTATATAACATAACAAAAAATTAGATTGATATATTTTGATATAGTGGCGTTGTACTGCTTCAAACTTTGCTTCTCCGGTGCAACGCGCCATGGCAATTCGCGTAATGCGTCGCAAAACCGGCAACCGCATGTAAACAAAATTTATTGAGGTTAGTTGTAAGGTTTTTTCTCAGTTTTTCTCTCTAAAACCAAAAAAGGTAAAAGGTAAAAACTGAGAGGAAACTAATTTTGAAGTTTCGAAGAAACAGAAAGACGTATGAGGTGTTTTTGTTTTCAAAATTAAAAAGAAGGATGATGGTGATTGAAATTAGCATAATTTCACCTTGCACGAGCTGCACGCATTTATAAAATACACGTCATCTAGTTATGAAACACGATCCGCTGTCTTTTAGTTTTGCCATGGATGAGATTTTCCTTTGTGTGTTAGAAAGTACGTAGTTGTTTTTGTTTTGGAATAACATCGACATTGGCGAGGAGTAGAACGAAAATATAATTCAGTGGTAGAGTCATGGAAGTAATAAGAGAAACCCTTTGAAAGAGATGTTTGTCTACTCCAGCTAAACCTCCCGCAAAAAATAGCAACATTTGCCTCTTGGAGACAGCGTACCGGCACAAAGGAACGAGGAAGAAGTGCAAGAAAACGAATCAAGGGGCCATAATTCAGTGACAGCGGCAGTGTCTAATGGACAAACCACATCGCAGTCGAAAACAAGCGACATTTCTAAGCAGAGTCCCAGTCCACTGCATCACACCTTTTTGCTCGGACGCGCTCGTTTCACCGCCCAACCTTTATCCGCCCTGGTGTGGTATGGTAACGATAGTGGCTCCACTTTACACTACTCTAGCATTAAGTCGAAGGCACATGCAACCAACAACAACAAAAAATTCAAATAAATAAAGAGCACTTTAACAAGTACGACTTACAAAAGAGTTAAATTTGTCAGCCTTGAGAACGTTCCTGTTTCCAGTTTCTGGACTTTGTTATTATAAAGATATATCTGCGTAATGAGAGAACGAAAGAATGGAGTGGACAAAAGCGCCAAAAACTCCTATCACGATAAAACTACCCTTAAAGAAAATATTGCCTAAAAAGCTCTTTAAGATTCGAAAAGGAGATTTTTCGCACAGAAAAATGTAATACTGACAATAATGAATTATTGATCATT